TATAATTGTTTATTATACCCTTACATTACATATTTTTCTCAAAATTTTATATTTATTATTTCTTAATAAATTAAAGAGTATAATAGTCAATTAAAATAAAAAGATTTTATTAATAATTGAAGACGTAGTAATAACATCACCCCTATAAAAAGGAGAAAAGAGGACTTTTATATGCTCGACTTTGTGTGCATCTAGTGCAAGACATTTCTGCCACCATTGTTGGTTTTTCATGCCTAACTGTCTCCATATGAAGTTATTCAAATTGAGTACTTTGGATCAATCCATTGACAAGCAGTTGTTTTATTTAATTGTGATTAGTATGAGATTCCTCCAACTCAAGGGGTTAGGGTTGATAAAAAACATCGATTAGTTGACATTAATCCAAGAAGATACCTTCGATCCTATGAGCCTTTTATTCTAGCTAGTCAAGCCAAGCAAGTGTATTACACTCCATACCCATTTATTAATCATCAACGAAAAGGTTAGGTTGTTGCCTTTAAAATTAAGGCCGAGATCATCATTGAGGCTCTAGGGAATGAGGTTGGCCACCAAAAAGGATTAGCACCATATTATCAGGATGATGACCCCCGTATTCCTTGCCTAATAAATATTTGTGAAATAAGTTATGAACCTGTGCAACATTCTGATGGAACACTTATTGAAGTACATAAAAAAGTTGATGGTGGGGAAGAGATTGGGGAAGAGGATGATGAGGGGAAGTGGGAAGACTTTGAAACACCTGATGAAGAAAACATGGAGGCTTATATTTCTGAAAACAATAGTAGCGATGAGTAGGCAAAATTGTTGTCAAAACTAGTAGTTATTATATTAAGTTTGTATTTGTTTATTTGTACCTCTAAAACTATATTATTTATATTTTTTTAAAGTGTAATTTTGTTAATATTTGGTTGTTTGTATTGCAATCATGATGTTTATTTTATTTTGCATGTTTGGTATTGTTATAATTATATTTATTTTATTTCGCATATGAATTTTAATCTATTAAATGCTATAATTATATTACATGTATTGTGTGTTTTTTATTATAATTTGGTTGATATTTTCCAGTTTATATTTATATAATTATATTATTTTATTTAAAATTTTAATTTTAATCTATTAAATACTTTAATTATATATTAAT